CCACCACCATGCTCTGCCAAGTGCCATGGTTAGAGCACGGCAGGACCATTACCTGTGAGCGCACTGCCTAGCGCACGCAGAGCTGATGTCACTGCATCACCAGGGACTGTCAGAGCTGTGTTAGGTGGCGTTGTGGATCCCCTGGAGCTGGCACTTAACAGGGCAGAGCATTTCTGCTAAGTGTTTGGGGCTGGCATGTCGTGCGGTGTCACGGCTGTTGCCTCACATGTATTCCTTCTGGATTTTAACAGTTGTCCCTCTAGCTCTTCAAGGTTATAGTTACTTTACATCCAAGTATATTCTTCCCTCCTTGAGCATATAGAAACTGAAGACCTACAAGGGATTCCTTATTTCTGCATGTCTCTTCTTAAAACACTGTTTGAATTAGGGAGCCAATACCAAGTTTGGGTTTCTTTATTTTAACCTCATTACCAGGAGCCCTTTGTCGGCATTGATAGGACTCTGATGCATTCAGCTTCAAGGATGAAATTCCCCAGGCTGGCTTTTTACACAAAAGGGTTTTGTTTTAAGCATTTAAAGTGTGAAAATGTTTCCATTTATAGAAATACGTCACCTTTGACCAGAAATGGAAAACCTCAGTATAGAAGATAACAGTACAAGAAAAAACTATCTGTGTGGCCATCACTGCCATGACTTTGACAGCAAAAGTTGTGACTTTTAGGGATTTTTCATAAGCTCTTGAAGAAAACCTGGGATGAAAAGTCATGTCTGAGTCCTGGTAACTCATTCCTTTTTGAATAATGGGATAGGAAGTATATCAGTCCCTATGAGGTAAGGGGAAGGAGGCTGGGAGAACGGGATAGGAATTATGCTGAAGTCCCTCTTCCAGCAGGGGCCACCACCTTAGGTACTTCCAGTTCTCAGCAAGCGAGAGTTTCTCTATGCTTGCCGAAAACAAAGTAGAAACAAAAGACAAATGCATACTTTAATTCCACCACTGGCATTAACGTATGCTCTCTGTTAGTGGGAGAGGAGAAGAAAAGAGTCAAGCTTTTGTACAGCTTAACACTTTTCCTAAGTGAGATGACCCAAACATAAGAGGTATCCTAGATAAGCAGCGCCCCATCTTATTCTTTGTGTCTCGTGAGCAAACTGTAACAGTGAGTCATGTGCTCTAATCCTGCGAGTCTGACCTCTGTACCTTGATGTTAATTGACTTCAGTCATATCCTACAGTTTAGATTATGCTTTAGATGCTCAGCAACTGAGAAATCGTTGGGTTTTCCATGATGACTAGCCCTACCTGAGAAGCATTTGACTAGGCAATTTCTCAAAAGCTTTTCTAAGCCCTCAAGTTTCTACAATTCTTCCATTCATGAGACAAGGTGGCCTGGCCCATGCTAGCTCTTCATTCTCCTTTGCAATTAAATTGTTTCAGCCGCCGTGTTAAACGTGTGGCTTTTCAGACCTGTCAGAAACTCGGTCGGGTGACACTGACTGTTTGCACTGCAGTTTATAACAATCTTGGGATTAATTCCCAAATCAACCTTGTAGCTATTTTAAACCAATGGAAGATATGAACTGCTGAACATTTTGCTTCTTGGCATGTGATTCTGTTCCCACATTTTATTTTGCTCTTCTTTATTCTACAGCACAGAACACATTTGCAGACATGCCTTTGTGCCACCCCAAAATGAACATGTGACTGTAGGTTATCCATCAATCTTTGACAGCCTAGCTTTTCCTTTGGTCTGGCAACAAATCTGGAAAGGGCTTTGGGTGCTATTTTTTTCAGTTTTAAAGCAGGAGTGTACCAGTTCAATGGCCATGTGTTTCTCTTTTGTTACACTTTCTTTCTGACCATTTTTTGTTTTGTTTTTTGGGGGGGAGGGATGTTTTTTGTTTTGTGGGGTTTTTTTGGGGGGGTGATTTTTTTTTTATAAGCACGCTGTGCTCACCTTGTTTTTCACTCTTCAGTGATCATGGCATTGGTGACCACAAGTATGGCCATAATTCCTTAAAAGGGCTGAGGTCCCTGACATGACTGTGAGAGAATGGGGACTATGGAATTCATTCCCACTGAATCTGTAGACTGGAGGAGCTTTTTTTGGTGTGACTCTCCATCCTTTGACATTCTAGATAGTAGTCTTTTGTGTACAGTGAATTTAGCCTCCTGTATTGCTGGTGTTCACAGATTTCCAAGGAGCTATTCCGGCAGCTGTTGTCAGACCCATGTGCTCTAGGAAACAGCACTTGTGAATTTTTTGCTGGATGTGAAACCTCGCTGTGTCGCCAGAAGTAATGTTTTTTCTGGAGTGCCTGTGTTTAGACTGCAACGAAAGAAAGATGACCTTGGTGAAGACTCTCAGAACTGACTGTTGAAGTGTGCAGGACCTCTTGATTGACCACCAGGTCTGTCTTTGTGCCTGGATGTTTATAGTCAATCTCTGCTCTCTCCCTCTCTGGTGAATAGAACACTCAAGCATTCCAAGGAGAGGAGCTATGGGTTGTGAAGGCACCTCATGCTGAGGCGGGTACCCTAAGGAGCTGGCTCGTGAGAATGCCTGCCCTGGGCACGACAGGTCTGCAAGATCTATGATAGAGTCTTCATCGCCAGTGGTAACTGGAGAAATACTAGCAGACTTTTCCCAGCTGCTGCTCAGTCCAGGAATCCACACCAGTTCCAGCTGTTGACAGTTATACTCTCCCAATAGCTTTGCTTAGATGCAGCATTTGTCACAACAGATCTAACCTGTTAAACAGATACTGCTTTTTGCTCCAGTGGGGATGCCTTTAGTGACAGATAAAATGATTTTGGTGTATGGTTGACAATGCCCTTCAATTCGTTAAATTTGCCAACTGCTTTGGGAGCCTGTGGGCTGGAAGGTGTCACTGAAACGTAAAGTGTTATTTTTCATCCTAAAGCACTCTGCTCCATTTTGTCTCTGCAATTTGTTCAAGGGTAAGTTGGTTTCTTTAAGTCTCCACACGGACCCACCATTAGTCCCTCAGCTTAGTATCTCAATTACCCTCAAAAAAGACATTTTTATGACCTTTGTTAGGCAGTTACTTAACTTACTTACTTCTTTAGCTACTTGAGAAGTCTGTTTTCTGTGACTAATTTTAAGGCACTGATTTTCAGTGCTTTTTGCACAAACACATTGTGAGTTTAAGTGTGCAAATGCAGCTCATAATGCTCAGTGAGTCCAAATACTTTGTCTGATTCTGCTCGATTGATTTACTATATTTTCCCATGTCTCAGGATTAATTACACACAACTGAAATAGGAAGGCCTGACAAGGGACCAGTCTTGATGTGAGCGTAGGGAAGAGTGATGTGTGACTCAGCGGTCCAGTAAGCCTCTGGCTAGAGGCTTAGTCACACCTAAACACTGTCATTCATGGAGCCAAATCCAACTGTCAGTCAAAACCCTGTCAGTCTAAACAAGTCTGAAGCTTGGCATTTAACTTTCCCTTGGCATCTGATTCTTAGCTCTAATTAGAACATCTCTCACAAAATAGGGTTCATTTTGAGTCCAGCTCTGTGAGGTATTGCATGGAGTGGCCTGACCTCAGAGAAGCTTCAGCTCCAACTTGCAGATGTAGGAGTGAACAACAACATGAGCAAGGCTAGCGATGCCTCAGAAAGGACACCTGAACGGTTACTCCAGTCTCTCTTTGTTTTGGAAAGCAGCATTTCCACATTTCTGTAAGTAAAGAAGGGAACCTGACTGTGGATAATAGAGGGCTGTAGAGGGCTGATCATTTCTCATGTGGCCTCTGTTGCCTCAGAAAATATTTAAAACATGTTGATGATAAAATACTCTATCAGCCAACAAATTATGAATCTACAGGTTCTGAAACTGATAAAACAGTATATAGTACTTCTGAAATTGTGTATAAATTTTTCTCTGAAAGTCGATGTTGATGGAGAAAGTTGTAAGGTAAGCTAAAGCTTTATGCTTCATGCTACATCTAGAAGATAGGTACAATATTTTTAAGGGCAACAGATCACATCATTTAGGCAATAGAGAGATACTATGAATAAATAAAAAAACTCAACAACTGTGTAACTGTTGTGATGTCTAAAGTATGTGTCATTTGGTGGATTTCAGCTTGGAACATATAAAACAGTGGAAAGAACCGTAGTTTGCTCCCAAACTTGGCTGCAACCAGCAGATTGCAGAGATCAAGTCAACAGGTGGACCTGACAAATACAGCATCGAGATGCCAAGGTACAACTGACTGTAAGAGACAGCAGCTAATACTTTTGTTTTGCTGGGCATCTTCAGAGGAAGGAAGTAGAGCCTGTCAAGTCAAATAATTGAATGGAAATAAGGTGGTTTAATAAGGAATGAAAGCCAAGGATGAAGTAATAATGTTCAGCATACAATACCAATGTCTAAACATTTACACATGACAATGATACTGTAATTTTGGCTTTTATAATACAATTCATAACAACATATTGTGTTTTCATTGAAGCACGTACTCATTTTTCTCCTGTTCCGGCACATTATTCATTTTGTTATAACTTATCCATCATCTCTTTGATATACTAAAGGCTAAAGATAGTTTTGTTTTGAAAACTAGGCCTTTGATTCCAGAAGTTCTGCTGTATTCTCATTCACAGATTATCAATGTGGTATATGTTCACCATACTTGTGAATTTTATGTCTATATCATCCTTAAAAACATCAGTTAAAAGAGCTAATCTGTGGGTAGAAATAGTTTGAGGTTCTCCTGAAAAGCTATGACCACTGTCACATCCCAGTTGGAGGGGGCACATAAGCTCCTTGAATAACATGTTTAAATTGCTCTTTCTGCTCCTCTCTCTATTACTTTGAGCCTTTTTTCTCCAAAGGTCAGTCTCACAAATCCTCTCCATTCGTGTCCTTTAAAACGTGAACACTGAAACCAATTATGTTGAAAATACTGTCAATGCATTGAAGGAAAAAATGTAGGAATAGAAATACATCTATTTTTGTGATTTTTCTGGCCAGAGTGAAGGAGAAAGAGGCTCTGGACAAGCACACCTGCCATCGGATCCCTGGTCTTTTCATCACGTTTGGGTGTCTCTGAAGAGCTCAGCTTTACAAACACAACACCAACAAGATGCTGTGGGGTAAGAAATTCTGTGCCATTCGCTTTATTTTCTGTGGTTATTCGAGTGCCTCTGGGACAGGCGATGCTTGAATGTCGAGGCATACGCCACAGATGACATTTTTGGTGGCTCCAGGCTGAGTTGTTGGGAAGTGGCTACTTTTTATACCCTACTCCTGTTACTTGACAACCCTGCAAGAAACCTAGCTGTGGATTTAGGCATATGGCTGTGCACGTGTGCAGCAGGACAGAGCCAGCCTAACCGAGCCGTGGGGGTTCACGGACCGTGGGGATGGAGCCCAGGGCACACAAGGAAAAAGCCAGAGGTGGATTTGACCAGCCAGGAGTGTTGGAGGGGGGAGCAGCGGGGGGTGAGGGGGGGCTAGCT